CAAATTGCTGTGGAAAACGTTGATGTTCTATGCATGACATTAATGTGTCTTAATCTTCACGATTCGATCATGTGTCTTCTTCACCGAGATTTCAAGCCGGGTGTTTCTATATTACAGGTCCAACGATAATTAACCCTTTGCAGTCGGAGCTCTATTTCAATTCGAAATCCAAAAGATGTTTTCTGATCTGCAGTATTTTCGTTTTATATGATTCAGTGCAATTTATGCATCCGAAATTGTGCCTATTGACAAGTACAATAATTGCAATTTTAACAGTTCTTTAAATACAACAAATCGGGTACTGTTACAATTATTCCATGAAAAATGGTGTAACAANTCGTTGAACGCGGCCGAACGACGGGAGCGAGAATTTTCGGTCCGCCGATCGCTCGAGCGGAATCGGCGCGTCGTTTCGACTGAAAAAAAAATGCGACGCAAACACCGTGCCGCGCCGGCAAAAAGCACGATACCAGTTCCGCGCGATCCGGAATGCAAAGACCGCGGCCGGAACAAAAAAGTCGATTGACTCCGACAAAGGGTGGAGCGGAGAGAGAGAGGAGAGGAGAGAACAGAGAGAGAGAGAGAGAAGAGGATCTGGTCCATTGTTGCGTTTCTCCTGCGCCGCGGAATCGGGCGAACGAATCTCTCCTGATCCGAAATCAATGTCCTTTTGTCCCCTCGAGGAACGCTCTTCCGCCGGAAACGACCGGAAGAAGAGCCGCCGAGGACACGGTCGACCGGATATGTCCTGGAACCAGATTACGGGATCGAGTTAGACTCCTTCGAAACCCAGTTCTACTTTTTCTTACCGAGAACAACGTCGGACCTTGCGCGAGCTCTCTCCGTTCGTTTCTGTCAAATTGCTGTGGAAAACGTTGATGTTCTATGCATGACATTAATGTGTCTTAATCTTCACGATTCGATCATGTGTCTTCTTCACCGAGATTTCAAGCCGGGTGTTTCTATATTACAGGTCCAACGATAATTAACCCTTTGCAGTCGGAGCTCTATTTCAATTCGAAATCCAAAAGATGTTTTCTGATCTGCAGTATTTTCGTTTTATATGATTCAGTGCAATTTATGCATCCGAAATTGTGCCTATTGACAAGTACAATAATTGCAATTTTAACAGTTCTTTAAATACAACAAATCGGGTACTGTTACAATTATTCCATGAAAAATGGTGTAACAATTTTTAGTGGCGCCTCAGACTCGCCGCTCGAGTGCAAAGGGTTAATTTACCGAAATCAGAGCCGACGCTGAAGTTGTCGTAATCGGAATAATCTTCGAGCGCGGAACAAACTTTCGATCTGTTGAATCGAATGAAACCGGCACCCTCGTCTTCAGGGTTCCGTCGATTTCACTCGCGGGAATTGTTCTCGAGAGAAACGAATTTATCCGTCTGTCCGAGGATCGCGGAACGTTTCGCTGGACGGGGATGAATCGGTCGCTCGATTGGCCGTCGACTTAATTCGCGAGACACCGGTATAGCAATTTCCCGAACGAAGACGTTTTCCCGAAGAAGGAAAAGTTCTCGAACGGGAGAGGGAGACGTTCGGCCGAACCTCTCTCGCCTTCGCCGAGGTCGCCGGTCACCGTACGACCTCGGCACGGTTAATTGGACGTTGATGAGAGCGGAGAAGATAGGTGGTGCTCTCAAAGTGCTGAGTTCACGAGACCGTCCTCGATGAGTCGGTCTGAGAAACGTCGCCGGCCATTTTCCCGGCAGCCTTGGAACTTCCATTCGACGCGATCGTCGAGTGTCGATGTCGGTTCCACCGGGAAGGGCCGAGAGACGGGCACCGAGAACTCGAAAGCCATTTTGTCGGATCTTTTCTTCGTCCAAGATATTTCTTACACGGCAAACCTATCGACGGGACTGTCGCGCGCGTTGAAGATAAATTCCGAGGAAAATCTGGCATGTCGCGATTTCAAGCAACTCGTAGAGTTGCGCGAGCGGTGCTCGACTTTCCGCGGCGAGAAAAAGCAACAAAGGAGAGCCCAAAGTATCGATGACTCTCCGCGAAAGCGTCCTACTAATTTCGATATCGGTCGAGTAATCGAATTCGCTGCTTCTCGGCGGCTTCGGCGTCGATCCGAGAAATGCGGCAGCATTTAACGTCTTCGATTCCGACGGCTCGAACGAACGCGGGGAACGCGTGGAATTCCGTCGGTTACTGTTTAGAATGCGAAAGAAAAAAAACTCGGCGGTGACACGCGTATCTTAAACTCGAACGAAGCGCGGCGAGTGTCGCGTTTAGAGGCGAAAACGCGGACAGACCGGGTCTCATTCGTCGAGGAGATCGAAAAGCGAGGAAACACGGGCCGGGCCGGGCCGGAGACCGTTCGTGCCCCGAGATCATAATCCCCGGACGAAAACGTTACACGAAAGCGTCGCCCCGTCAGCCTCATGAAATTCATGCGGAACCGGAGCTGAGCGGAGAACAGCGAAGCGGCGAGGAGCGGAGCGGAGAGCACGCGAGTATTCATCGGGTTCCGAGCGAGCGACGCGCATCCGTTTTCAAAGGAAATATTCAAGAATCGTATCGATAAGCGCCGAGCAGGATAAAAGCTACCCGGCCATGAGAAAACAAAGAGGGTCTGCCGGAGTTTCCCCGCACAAAGGCAGAAAGATTCGAAGGCGTAGCCAATCTTCCTTGAAAGGCTGTTACCTCGCGCTTAGGTTCGACTCACGGTCCACGATAGTTACCGACTAGAATTCGCGTGGACCTTTGGACACGGTCTTTTCTCCGATAACGTAAAAATCTACGTAGCTTCTAACGGAAAATCTGCGCGGACTCCGAACACGGTTCTTCGAATTCGATGACAGAAAATGGACCTCGGACTCTTTGTTTGCCGACCCTCTGCAAGTCGAAGGCGCTTCCTTGTTATTTTGAAAAGGGAACGCGAATTGATGACGCTCGAAAAGATCGACGATAAAGAAAACGTCGAAAATATATACGTCGCGGAGAGTTCACGGATTTCGAGACAAACCAAGGAAGTTGGAGGACCCGCCGCGGGGACGTCGCGGCCGAACGGTCGCGATAATAGAAAGAATTGCGTGGCCGACGATCGTTAAGGGAGTTTTTATCGCGGGTAATATACGCGGAGGAAGAATTCTCGGGTCTAATCGTTTTCGAAAAGTTTCCCGAACGCTTTTACGAACCGAAGTTCAACGCCCGAGGGCGCCCGTAGCTCATAATTCCATTTGCGCCGCATGCCTCGCTGCCGTATCGCATTATTCCCCACCCACGCCGCTCCCCGGCAACTTCGCCGAGGTCCGCTGTAGTCCTGGAAAATCGGATAATTGGTCCATCGATCTTCCGCTAATTTTTCTTCGCGAAGATCGAATTTACGGCGGAGGCGGCCGTAGAGAAGAACGAACTTCGGAAAGCAAGCGCGCCGAGCTTTCTCGCGAGAGATTTTTCGGCGAATGATATTTTTAATTCGTCGTTCCGTCGGAGATCGTCCGTTCGTCGGAATCTCGTTTAATTGAAATCGCTGGCGCACCGAGTCGAAACGGTAGAGTAAGCGATACAAGGGAACGAGACTAGAGTTTACGCGCCGATGGCGAAGTTTCGAGTTGCACGGGAGGGTGTTCTCGTCGCCGTTTAAACTAATTAAACTGGGACGACGCGCGGACGACGAAGAAATCGAAAGCGTTGAACTTCTCGGAGGTGGAAGAATTCCAAAAGATTCGCAGTTTCGCGGCGATCGGGGACCGAGCGAAACGCGTTCGCGATTTATCGAGGGAGAGAACGCGTCCGATTCCGATCGAATCCGGCCAGAATTTTTACGCGGAATGTGTCCGCCGCTGTTCTCGCCCGGCTCGAGCACTATGTTCCACGTGTTCTTTATCGCCGACACGGGGGCACGGACACGACACAGCGCGCACAGTGTCGCGGATTACCGAGCAATAAGAGAAATCGAGCGTCGATTCATACGGGCGAAGCAATTCGCGTCGGTTCGTGCTCGGAAAACTTGAAAAGACTATTGAATTTTCAAGTGCGACCACTTTGACGGCGCCGCCGATGCGGTTCGAGCCTCGGAGTGGGGACACCGGGGCCGTCCAATCGCGACAGATCTAGGAAAGTTCTAGAGGCAGAGGAACCCTCTCGGTTTGATTAAGCATCGAATAGCTTTCCCGTTTTTGTGGCTTATTCCTAATAACAATATCGAGTTTACGATCGGCGGTAAAAGACGGGAACGATTGCCCGTCCATGCAAAGTACGGTCGATATGTACGTCGTGGGAAAATTTGACGCGTTGCCCGACGGAAGATCGGAGGCGCGGAGACACCCTCGGCCGGTTTTTTCACCGTTGACCTTTTGATAAATATTTTCCGACCGCTCGATTTCGGTAAATTAAATCCTGTCGCAGCGGAACCGCGAGTTCGGTCTAGTTTTTAACGCGTCGACCGACGCAGCGATGCCCATAAAAATCGTGGAAAATCGGATCGACACGTTTCGCGATGCGAGAACTCTCGAACCTTTTTGATCGACTCTGATTTATCCAACGGTTTCCAAGAAAAATTGAGTACGAAATTACGTTGTCCCGTCACCGGAGCGGCGATGGAGCTGTTAAAATATTCGTAGAAACGGTAGTTAGCTTATTCGACGAGCAGGTAGGACTCGAATCGGCGATTCCCGGTGTCATCGACTTCCGTAATTGGCCGAATTGGCCGTCGCGGAAGGGCCCTGATTGTCTCGACGAGGTATTCCCGCAGCCTTCGCAGTTGGAAATTTTGGGGATCCGGCCGGTTTACATAATTCGTTTTGGCCCGTGTCAAAGCGGCTCTCTGGCCGAAGGAACAATGTTCCCGGTGCACCGTCGCCGTGGCTACAGCTCTACGTCAAAGTTATTGTTACACCGAGTTGGTAACAGAGGCTGGCCGAGTCCCGGACAACGTTACAAATCCTTGATGAGCCTGATTGGCCCCGACCAGCAAAGTGTTTGCCTTTACGGTCGGCCGGCGTGTGCGTGAAACTTGATTCGACGTACCGTTTGACCGGAGCGTGGCTCGCAGCGGAACAGGTATCTTATTAGGTCGACGACAGGTACACTCTCGGGCCTCTCCGTTGGACGTCGCGCCGCCGCCTATGTGTCCCCGTGGCGATCGACAGCGAGCAATTTACCTGGAAACGGCAAACGGGAAACTCGCGATATAAACTCCGAAATCTTCGAGCCCGTGATCCGGCTCTAACCAATTCCGTCGCGTTTTATTTTCGTCGCAGCTGGGATCGACCAGACGGACTTTCACGGGCTTTCGTCGCTTCCCTGGCAGAAAGAGACACAATTTTCATTTCTCGCGTGTCTAGATTTACTTCCGTTCTTCGATTTTTAGGCAAGAGTCGATTCTTGTTTAACGCGTCGGTCGCGCATTTGATATTTTCTACGGCAATTTTTCACTTTCCGGTTCCCGTTTCGTCGATTCGACGGGCTTCGATATTTCTCGGCACTCGAGGCGTCGAAAGAAACGAATTCTCGCACCCGGTAGAAATAAAAGAAGCGTGGTTGGGATCGAAAGCAATGGCCCGAGCCGATTACGGAATTCGAACGGATCCCGGCGGTGGCTAACCTTATAAGCCGCGCGACGCCTAATTAACGCAAAATTCCAGCGTTACGGTTTCCGTCGCGATTTTCGTCGAGGTTTTTTCTCCACAGCCTCCCCCCTTGCCCGCGCGTACACGCTCGAAAAGGAAATACCCCGTTTTCGTAAGTATCTATCCGGAACTCTTCGCTCGTCTAATTGCGCGCCAAGCAATTAGCCCTGTTAGAGAGGTGGTTCGTCTGGCGTCCCGTGTGCCTCTCGCAGTTTCGCAAAATAATTTCGACGCGTGCACAAGTTTCAGAGCATCCGCGCGACTTTCGACGAAGTCGCGGAACGCGAAATCCCGCGCCCCGAGCTTCCACGAAACTGTTGAAATTCATTTAGAATCTCCGACGCGGTTGAACGATCGCTGCGCGCGGATCGACGGAAATTGAAAATGTCGAAATTTTATTATATTTGCCGCGAGATTTTATTATATTTGCCAGCGAATGACCGAAGCCTGAACGAGAACCCGTTAGGAATTTAACGAGAACGACTCGGGGAAACATATTTGTCTGCCCGATTACGCTGTTTCGAATCACCGATTCTGTTTCCCACGAATAAATTTCGAAAGATGACCTTCGCGTCCGCGTTTCTCTATCTAGAATCAAATTTCTCATCGCCGCGATGGTTCCCGGAAAGCACCGCGGTTCTTCGGATTCGATCTAGGTCGCTGTACGTAGTTGGGCCAGCTCGCCTGGCAGTCCGATGATCGCGAAGCCATAGGCGTAACGCTCCAGGTCATCCCCCTCTAGCGAAGAAATAGAGTGGATCCGTCGGTGTCCGACACCTACACGCTCAGCGTCGTTCAGCTCCGTCCGACTCGGCTCGGTTCGCTCGCTCGCTCGCTCGCACGCGGGAGCCAACACTTCCGTGAAGGTGAAACTCCGAAGAAGGCCGAGGAAGAAGCAGAAGAGGGGCACAAACCTGGCCAACAGGCTGGCCGACCGGTTGCCGACTGCCTTTCGCGATCTACGCGCTGCCAACTACTTAGTCGTGCCTAGACGACAGTCGCGAGCGTTCCGTATCGTTCCGTTCCGTTCCGTTTCGTTTCGTTTCGTTTCGTTCAATTCCGTTCTGTTTCGTGCCGCGTCACGACCAACCGGGATCGAAGATCCAGCGGAGAAAATCGCGGATTCCTCGATCCGAACAACACACGCCTCCTCCGTCCGTTGATATTCTCCCGAGGCGAGTTTCCGCGCGCGGCTCGCAGCCGTCGATCAGCTGGCTCCAACGATCGCCTTTCATGGCCACCTCGATCTCTGGACGATCGGTAAATTTCCGGTGATCGTCCGATTTCGGAAGGAGAAGACGCCGAACAATAGCGATTCCGGCTGCCGCCGTCGAGAGGATTGTGGACGCAGTGAATTGTCTTGTGGGGATCTATCTTGCGATACTCTGTGCGTTTCGATTTTCTCTATCGCCGAGATTGTTCGGCGACTGTGGTCAGTGGGATCCGTCGGTCGTATCGTCGGTCTCCGATCGTCGAGCGAATTTCAAAATGTAAGCTGGCCGTGTCGCGACTCGTTCCGAGAGAGCAGATCAGAGTGGCACGTTCGCGACGACGATGTTCGGATAGTTCGGAGACCGCGATCGATGCACTGAACGATCCGTCCAACGTCCTGTGATATCGGTGATTCAATTGTGATAGAAGACATGATGGTGATAAGCGCGCTGAAGCACGTCGCGAACGCTGCGACGAACGCTGTCCATTCGGCGACGAACAGCACCGCTGGACATGGACACGCGAATTCCGGTAGGTTAAATTCTGGCTTATTACGGTGGCTGGGATCGCGGTGTTCGTGCTCGACACCGCGTCCGCGAGCACGCGATTCGAGATAATGCGAGAATTCTTCGACGATCGTTCGCGGCTTGAAAAACCGAGACGCGACGCGTTCGCGTCGAGAACGCTGCGCGCGGAGTCGGGAGGATGCAACGTTATTATCAACGTTGTCGAGCTCCGTGCAACATACTGGAACGTAACTCGGAGTTCCTCTAATTACGTAGACGCGTTAATTGGACCGTGGCCGATTCGATTTCTTTTCGTAAGAGCGGTCGGACTCGCGACTTCTTCGGTAATTCGTACGAATTCTCCGGAGGATAGAAGGCAGAAATTCTGTTCGCGTGTTTCTCCCTCGGCCTCTTCCCCAGTTCGTTTCTATAGAAAGTGCAGCACCGCCTTTCCAAACAATAGTTTACGCGCTCGGACGATGCGCTCGAATGATTCGTGCCGGCCGGAGCGTGCGTTATTTAGCCGGCGCCGGCACGAATCACCGGGAAATCCCTTTTCCCGCGGCACAATCACGAGCCGTAATTATCAACGCCGTTTTCCGCCGTCGGGTTGTAAAATACTGGTAATCGTTCTTGAAAATTGTTTAACAACGCGCGCGTATTATTTCCGAACGACGCGGCGGCGGCGCTCATTTTCCGCGAATAATTCCCGTAGCCGGGGAAAATCTCTCTCTACGCGAAAACCGATTGATCGTTGTATCGGAATCGATTCGCCGGTTACCGTTTCGATTCTACTTGAAATATTCGCACGAATTCCTCTATCAAGGAAATCTGCACGCGAGAGCCGACCGGGGAGGGGCAAAAAGTGTTTAAATAGGTCGTGGAACTGGAATCGCGTAATTAAACGATTAAAATGCACCAGATTCTGCCGTATTGATTGGACACTGTGCGATAGTGAGCGGTGATAAAACTGTCCGAGGCAGTCGTGAAAGGTCAGCTTTCTGTCGCTATTAACAGGAAACGTTACCGCCTGAAATCGAATTTCTTTCATCGCGGTAATTGATCCATAATATCGTTTCATTAAGCTCCCCCCGGATATAACTACGAAAGACGGTTCAGAGTTCTTTCTTTTTTTTTTGCCACGCCGCAGCGCGCTAACGTTCTCGTAATTTCCATTTGTTCCAAGAGCCAGCCGAACACGCGCGTTCGAAGATGAAATTTACTATACCACTGCTAACGCTGCGTGGATTAAATTAATGCGAGTGCGACGCAATAAATGACCAAAAATCGCTGTGACTCCGAAATAAATCACGACGCGAGATGCTCGATCTCGGGAGAGTGTTGCACGCTTCCTGTTTTAACGCCGGATACAATAACCAAACCCGGCGAAATGGCGCGATCGCGGATTCTTTATTTTACAATTATCGATGCAGTAAAGAGACGTCTTTTCGGGTAATCGCCGAACGCGGCTGCATCTCGCGATAAGAATCGTTTCCGAAATAGAACACCGGTCGCTGTTCGAGCTAGGCTGTTCTCGAGCTAGGCCGTTCGAGCTCGGTTGTTGCAGCGTTAAGGATCCGAATCGAGTGGAGATAAAATGTCGATAAAAATTGGCGATCGAACGCCGAGAAGAAGGTGGAAGAACGGGACCGGAGGAGGAAAGATTCGTTGATTCAGCGGAGGAAAACAATCGGCGCGGCATGGCGCGGCACGGCGCGGCGGTCCCGTGTTTCGCCTTTTTCGGTTTGCAGCCGTGGGGAAAGCATCCACGGACGGCGATTGTATTCATATTGAAATATCGGGTTGCGCAAAATGGAAAAGGTTACAGCGGACCGGCCGGAGCACGATCGAGCCGCGCAGCCGCTCGGCGATTCGTTTCATAAGAAGACGTTGTTCTCTTCCCCCGGACTCTCGTGCACGTACTCCGAACACTCCGTTTTACTCTCTTACTCGTAACGCTCGTAATGTCAGACTGTGGTAATTGGCATCGATCGACGGGACAACACGTACCACGGCGTCGATGATAAACACCGAGACGGTGACACGGACAGGCGTGACTTCCCTCGAGCAATTATCGAAATCGTACTACTGCCGCGTCTAGAGCGCTCTACGTGCGCACCGACCGCGAGTGAATCGAATCGAATCGAATCGAATCGAATCGAATCGAACGGAAGACATTTTCCATCGACGGGGATCGTGATCCTCGAGGATCGGCGAACGCCGTCGTGTCGCAACGCCGCTGCCACGCCTAATGTCAAGATCGCAATTCCATTGTCTGCGATGACTTTTCAGTCGCCTCTGGTCAACGGTTCACCCGCGATCCTACGGGATTGCCGACGAATTTTGCGTCCGTAAAAATTTGCCGAAGCGCACCTTCGATGTACGATATTGTCGCGAATCGCTCCGTTTCTCTCGCGTCGCGGCATTTTATTTTCAATAAGGAATATAAACTATAATACAACTCGATACAATTATATTTCAGACCTTTCAATTTGAAATGTTGCTCGTCCGATCTCGACTCTTCGATTGTCTATTGGTAACACCCCTATCTTCGATTATTTTTTAAGGAGTTGCTCGCAACAGGGCAGTTTCACGTTACAGCGACTTGATTTGGACAAGTCGCCGTAACAATATAAAGACCGCGAATATAACGGAAATATTCCAAAGAAGCTGAAGCACCTCTGCACTTTATGGAACCGATTCGGCGGCGTTGAAGCGAATCGTTCGAGCATTTAAAATTCAAACAACTAATAGAATTATAATGCGCGAAGGTCGATCGAACGGAGAAAAATCTGTCCTGCCAATGTAGGCCAT